CCACAGTTTACGTCCACTGAATTTGCCGAATTCATGCGCAAAAACGGCATCAAGCACACGTTGGTTCCACCCTATCACCCTCAATCTAATGGGGCAGCAGAGAGGTCTGTGAGAGTTGTTAAGGATGCTTTGGTTAAACAAGAAACGCTGATGGAATTGACAGTGCCAGTGATAATTTAAGTGTGGAATCGGATAGTCAGGCTAATCAGCAGAATCAAACTGAAATTTTGCTGCCCAGCAACAATGACATTGAAGTGAAAAGGAGCTTCATCAGAACAAAGGAAGGTATCTCAGAACAAATCTGCAAAGAGGTTAAACCCAAAACTGCCGAAAGTCAGGGAAGTAACTCCCAAACGTGTTGAACTGTTACTGAAATGTCTTAATGAATACAACGTCACATGCAACAGCATGGGGTTGCATGTGGAGACAAGTATTTCTTTACCACGGGTAGGTGAGGTACCTCACCTCCCCGGGTTCCCCACTTCCATGTGAACAGGCCCTTAGAAAGCTTTTAGTTAAAGTCCACTTGATTGCAACCTTCTGGTTTTGACAATTTTGGTTTTTGAAAGTTTGGTTTGGGTTTTGAAAATTCAGGTTTAATGAAATGAACTTGAAACGTAATAGAAGTCGTTACATGTACTAAGCCTATTTTTACTCATGCTAAATAATGTTAATAATATTACCCTGCCTTTAATTTAAGCTTACCAATCCTCCGTTAGTTCTCAGCCAAGATCTGAGGTGGTAATCAAAATATTTCGTCACAGATTCCACTATTCCTTCCACTGCCTCTGCTTCCAAACCGTCCTTCTCCTCACAATATGCAGCAAGCGTCGCTCCAAACGCCAAGAAAGCACCTACTGTACCTACATGTTGTTTTTCTTTAAAGATCACTTCTCCCATTTCGTCAACAATCGATGGTAACCTTGCAAGAGAGACACGAAAATTCTTCTCGTAAGCCTTGTCGGAAAATAATTCTCCATGTTTTGCAATGATGCGATCAGCTGCAGCAGTGCTGAAAGCTGCTTTGATTCGTTGATTTTCTGCTATTATTTCTTCTCCAAGAAATTTGACAACCAGCGCCGCCAATTGGGATGGGCAACTGGCTTCTCCTCGAATTTTCTGAAGTATGGTGGAAAATTGACGCTGTAGAACTTTGTGACGAGTGTAGCTGCTTACTATATCAAATAAAATTGGATGAAACTCAGTTTTCGACATTCTTTTCCGGTGTAATAAAAGATCAGAACAGGTACACGCACATCACATCAACTACTACGACAAAGTACTACTACTAGTTTCCGCCATTTTGAAAGTCTTGCCTCTGCTGGGGGGATTCCCTGGGTACTAGTTCTCTCGCGCGCGACGGTCACTTTGAGAGATAGTTTGAAGGGAAAGGCAGGTATTCTACCGGGACCTAGACCTGTAGTAACATAAACAAAACACAGGCATCTAAATACAACAGATCAGTCAAAAAATCTATTGTAGCAAACACAAAAGGAAGCCATGCAAGGCATCGAAAATAAGTTTATAACACGCAAATGCTATACCAAGTATTAAAGTTGTGGACAATCCGGCCGAAGAAACAAGACAACAGCATGCAAGCCCCACCTATTTTTTTTTTTTTAATTTACACGTGTATGATTTAAATTGCCTTTTTCAACAGGGAAGAGGGGTTGGGTGGTTTAAATCGCATTTTTTAATAGGAAAATAGGGGCAAGGGTGGTGAGCCGACAATGAAAGTGAAAGTAAACTTGACAGTTAAAGTGCCTATGAAGTACATATATAAAAATAAATAAATAAATAATAATAATAATAATCATGACAATAATGATAATAATGATAATAATGATAATAATGATAATGACGATAATGACAATAATGACAATAATGTCAATAATGACAATAATGACAATAATGATAATAATGATAATGATAATGATAATGATTATGATTGTCGCGTTCCCGAACCGAGTCCTCGTTGATAAGTATCGATCCGGAGTTAGGCCTGTCCCGATTGTGCTCGTAAAATGCTGGAAAGTTGCTCACTGGAATGCCAAAAAGTTGCTAAAAAATTGCCAAAAATCCAAAAAGTTGCTAC